GGGGGGGTTGTCCTAGGACATAGTTAAGCAATGATGTAATAATTTGCTAATTGTTTATCTAGACCTTTTGAAAACAAATTTTACGGCAACATTTTTTTTATGGTGGGCTAACACACTCAAAAAATTGTAACTAAGTCACTTATTTGAACATTTTTTGTGTTTTGTAAACCACCAATGTGTTCCAACAGATAGCATAACCAACCAAAGGCATCACGGTCCATGCAAAATTGTTGAACACATGTTTCATCACTTACATCTATTAATTGTTTCATGTGCTTTATCTGGCTAGGAAGTCTATATGTCATTCGATAAGTTAATTGATGAGGACGAACCCTAGTTCTACGGTGACTCTTGCAACGAACAACCAATTTTAAGTTAATGTAAGCAAACAAGAAAACAATTTTCAATATATTCATAATTTCTTCCACGATCATCACTGTCCTTGCCTGCTGGGTTTCGTTGTTCATCCTTACTTCTGTAATCTAACATTAGTTCGTCAACTTTTTCTTCATACTAAAATCTAATTATGAATAAGAGCAGTAGTTAAGCAATTAAATCCTAATTATCCGACAATTAACAATACACAAGTCCACAACTAAATAGTTAATCAAATTTAACTTTAATAACGTACAAACATAACCCATAATATGAATTCTTATATATACCCAGGATATTCAAAGGTATAGTTGTAGTACAGAGAAGATTAATTACCAAAGCTAGATACTGTGGAGCTGAAAAATTTAATGTCCTTCAATACCGTGTACAATCCTGGATACATGTAAAGCTGCACAAAGATGTAAAGAGATTGAGTACAAGCCATAATGAAATGGAACTGACAAAAAAGTTATCTCTTTTTACAAAATTCATTTCATCCATCCCTTTTGGTTAACTGATGAATCAACCTCTGCCACTATTATTTGGAAATGACGAATTAAGACAAACATATGTCAATATATGAGGATTGTTACTTGAAATACAAATCCATGCTCGTTTTCCAATATCAATACTATCTATGACAACATTGCTGGTTATGATGAATACTAAGACTGACTTTATCGGTGACCCAACCCGTGGGTCACCAATTAAAAACAAAAACAAAAAGGGAAAGGTCGTGAGATTTGAGCGACCCAGGTCACATTGTGACCTTGGTTCGCGACCTCCATACTGTATGAAAATAGGAAACTTGTCCCATTTTGATTGGATAAGTGTATTTTTTTGTTTAAAAAAAAAATAAAAAAGATATTAAAATTCGTATTTTTTCATTATTAACCACACTTGATATATTTTGGAATAAAGTTATAATTTTTAATTAAATTAAATTAAAATAAATATTTAGGTTGAGTTGGTTTGGGGATAACGATTAATTAGGTTGGAATATTGAGTTTTATATGTGGAGAAGATAGAAATAATTTTTAATTATTAGGTTGAGTTGGGTTGTGTTGGGGATAAGGATGGTCTAACATACATTACATTTTTATCTTGAGGAAAAAAAATTGAAGAAAAATTCAAAAAGAAAAATTTTTTCTCAACAACTAGTAATAATGCATTCACATCGCATACCTCAGTCTTGGTACAATGTTCAAAATATACCTCAATTAGAAAGAGCAAAAATTAACCTTCTCAGCAATAATAATATTGTTGGTGAAATGAACTTCATGTTGGGTTCTATGAGGATGTCAAACAACATGCACAGTATTGAACTTATCGAAATAAATCTTAACACAGCGGAATCTATAGTTAGGATATGGACATTACCTTTTAAATTTTTTTGCCGACTCAAAGACGATGTAGAATACCGTTGATGTAGTTCGTCTGAACACCAATCTAATGAGCAGATAGATTTGGCCTTTATTCGATTCTAATCAAAAGTTCCAACGAAGCTCGGTCACACGGTAGCTCAAAGTCTCGGAGTTGGTGCAGCGGGCTGGTCGCGGACAGCAGCAGGTGCGTGTAGGGCGCTGTGCGTGACGCTTACGCGCGGGCAGCTGGACTACGCGGACAGACGCTGGCGGTTGCTGGGCGTGCGCGCACGCGAGCGCTATGCCTATGCCGAGGCAGAGTGGGCGTGCGCGTCTGGGACCACGCGGGCTTGCTGGGCACGTCTCCTATGCGCGCAAGGTGTAGCGAGCGCGTACTCCTCGTGTGCTGGGAACGTGCGAACGACGATGGGCGACGGTTAGCAGGCGCGAACGGCGACAAGTAGACGGCACTGGGAGCTCGCGGGTGTTGCTTGCGGTCGCTGCTGGGAGCTTGGCGTTGGGCCTGGCTGGGCGCAACTGCGAGCGGCAGCTTGCGGTTGCGATAGGCTAGGCCTGGCCGACTTCCAGCGGCGGCGGCGATTTCCGGCGGTGGTTCACGGCGGCGAACGGCGGCGGTGAGCTGGGGAGATGACCGAAAAAATATATCTATAAAGGCTTGAATATCTTGTACCCATAAGCCTTCTAACGGATTACCTAAACTCCTACTTCGATTAAACTTGGTGGAGCGTCTAATCGAATCTCCCTAACTCTCGAACGTTGCTATTCCTCTCGTGTATGTAGGAGAAAAATCGACCAAGACAACAACTTAGGAGAGGTTGGGACATGGTGTATTTATAGGCTCCATTAGGGACATTAAGGAGGTGCTAAATATGAGCTTATCTCATTAGGCCAAGGAATCCTAATTCCACTCCAACTACTAATCCAACCTAGGAAGGAACTCTCCTACGACTCATCACCTTCTAGAAGACTCTTAAGTCTCTTAACCTTAGACAAGATTCTAGTAGGAATATTCCTTTCCTAATGGAATAATAAATAAGGAATAAAATTAATTCCTTATTAAATGGAATTAAATAATAAAATATCCACTAGAGTAATATTATTGTTCTCTCCATTTAGCTCCTAATTTATCAATTAATTTGAACCTCCATGATTAAATAATATTAATCTGATTGATCGATTTACCTCCCTATGTTTAAGATATAATGTCTGTTGATTTATTAAATTACTGACAAAATAATTAATCAACTTTTTATTCATTTCTGAAATTAGTACCACTCAGATCCTTAACCATTATGTCAGACAATCGTCTACCTGCAGGGTTTTAACATAATGTACATTCCTGAGCTCATTTCAGGAACGTCATCAATCAAGCGCACTGGAACATAGTGACCATAAATAGTTTATAATAACACAACATATAATCATTCTTATTTACCAAAATACCTCGTATGTCATCCTAATAAA